GGTGGAAAAGCCCCCACATCCTGTCCCTGGGGACCCTGGGGTAAATCCTCCAGCTGAACCAGGAACAAACCCCAGGTGAGACATGATGGGAGAGTGGGACCCTCCTTCCAGAGCTGTCTGTCATGGATGGGACTGGTTCTGCAATGCTCCTCCAGGGAGAAATACCCCCGGAGCCTCTTCCCCATGCGAGGGAGCAAGCTCCTCCTCATCCCTCAGGAAGGTGGGAGGGGTGGAAAGCTGTGGGGAAATCCCAAAGACCACTGTGCGATGGCCTAGTGAAGAGCTAAATATAGCCACTATCTCAGCTCCCCAAAGATAACAGCCTGTGTCCACAGCCTGCCACAACGCCCTGCCCCAACTTCCACCTACCTTTGCTTTGAGGGCAAACACCAAGCAGCAGTTGTGAAACACCCTGCCCCACTCATGGCAAACAGGGCTTGTATCGCAGGGCAGAAACGCACCCTAAGCCACCTCACATGCATTCCTTCCCTGGCACTGGGGGCTGGCTGGCCAAAACCCACACAGGTCAGAGGCTAACCAACATCTCCCTCGGCACCTCTGTGGTGGTGAGCAGCCAGCAACATGCAGGAGAAACCTGCGGTAGAGCAGAGCAACAAGTGTAAAAGTCAGGTTGGGGCTTCCCAGTTTTTGGGCTTGTCCCATTAAGCTCACCGCTTCCACCTGAATCTCTCTGGTGTCCCAAGATCAGTGGCGCTGAGCCAGGCTGCGATGACCCTGCCTGGAGAAGGACAGGCAGCAGTGGAGAGGGCCCATGGGCCATGACCACCTTATTGGGTCTCTGTCTATTGCTCCCAGGCAAATCTGAACATGGCTCCCCTCATGCCTGCTGTAAACCCCATCACTAAGTAGCACGTGCTGAAATCCCGCCATACCCTTGGCACATGAAATACTACTGTAAGTCCACAAGACTCCTGCAGCGGGTACATCTTTCAGCTCTTGCTCCCCAACTTTAAACCTTACCACTGCCTTTATCTAAAAAGGGTTTATAAAACAAAAAACAATGTGGCTTTTTTTCCCCCTCAACAAAACCCTTTTGCTTTGCAGAGTAATAAGTTTATGAACTGGCAGCTTCCAGCAGGAAGTCTCTGGCTTTAACCATAGCTCTATGTGTTTCCACAAGTTAATTGAAAACAAATGTTGACACTTCAGTCCTGCTTTTATGCTCTGTAAGGGAGGTGAGAGAGCAGCATTGCTCGCAGCTGTGCAGTTAAGAGGCCAGACGTGGCACGAAAAGAGGCAAATACTTTTATCCCCACCATTACCATGGGGAAAAGGTAGATGTACCATCCCCACCTTGCAGCAGGCTTTACAGCCTCCACTGCTTGCCCCGATAGGCAGCATTTGTCCCCAAAGCTGCTTCCCTGCCGGGGCAGTCAGCTCCGTGCACGCTTTTCGCATCGTCGAGGATGTCAGGCTCCGTGCCGAAGCAGACTCAGGAGCAGCCCTGGGGGGCAGAGACGGGGACCGGCTGCAGGAGGGCAGCTGGGAAGACCCCGTGGCCCAGCTGGCCACGCAAAGCACTGGGGGTCTACAACAGATCCTCAGCTTGCCTGGCAGATGTTTTCAGGGTGTTGGAAACACCTTCCCAGCTCCACATGTGTGCCCAGACAGGGACTCCTGTGGGGCAGGCCTCTGGGCCAGCTGGGCCCCGCAGGTGTTTTTTCCTACTGTTAAGTCACCTCTATGAGAAAGTCATTTTTTCCACTCCACACCGTAAATATTGTCTGGAATGAGGATTTTGGAGAATCCTCTGGAGATTTCTACCCAGCGCCAGCCCGCAGCCACGGACGTAAGACGTGGCTGCGTGAGTGACCCTCCTCCCCGCTCGTCCCTGAGCACCCAAACACCCAGGACTAGCTCAGCCGAGGAGGATCAGCACCCCAAAAAGGCTTTTCTGCCTCAAGAACACGTTCCTGTAGGTTTAGCCCCCATCTGCTTATTTGCGACGTCCACGAAGCACCACTCTGCCCTCCCAGAGAGGCAGGGACGGCACCGTGCCACGGGAGCCAGGCGTTGCCGCAGGACAGAGAGGGACTGGGAGCATGCAAGGCCTGACACGGAGATTCCACCTTCTGCCGACGCAAGCCAGGCTTGCTCGGGGAAAGGCGGAGGGGGCTGCCTTAGCAAGATCGCTCCACAAAGGAGAGGGTCCCTCAGGTTTGAAGGCCCCGGGAACCCCTGCCGCCCCCCCCCCCCG